CAAATATAAACTGAGTTTAAAATATATTTCTTACATTATTTGAAAATTTTATTTTTCTCCGATTATGTCCTGTTACTTGAACCCAATCATATTTACAACTGACCTCTCAACATGAAAACAAAAGTCTCGGATTCATTGTTTTTATTATATCTTTCCTGGAAAATTTACAACCCCCATCAAATTAATATTATTATTTACATATATTGTTTTTTTTTATTCATATTTAGGTATAGTCCTTATTTGTGAAATAAGAATTTTGTTTTAAAATTTTGTAAACTACTTTTCTACAATTGTATAAACATTGTTGAACGTGCATTCGTCTCATTGTTGTGTGAGAGAATAATAGACAAGACGTACCATTTTGGAAAATAAGGCTGCAAACAGTGCGGAAGAAAAACGCAGAAGTGAAGTCGAGGTGACTGACGAATGCTGCCTAATGAGACTCGAGTATTTACGGAGTGCTACGACTTTCAGGATGCCATGTAAAAATGTACGTAATGATCAAAAAGAGAGACAGCTCCTAGAATTGCACAAACAATGTTGGATGCGATTATAACGAGCGTTAAACATGAATACTGCTAAATAAGGAAGAAAATGTTAGAAGGGAAGAAATATTAAAAGAAAAGAAACCATCTCGTTTCTAATTTTTTTTTTTTAGACAAATTTGAATTTATAGTTTTTTCGGAAAACTCTTGTATTTATCAATAAATATATTACCCAAGCAAAAATTTGCAATCGGCACCGTGTTGCGCCAGTACTGTCAATTACTGGCAAAGTACTGACCGCCAATATTGAACCAATACTGGTCATTAGTACTGGTCATTAGTAATGGCTTAGTACTGGCATTCAGTACTTGTTCAATACTGAAATTTAGCAGTAATTCTGTATTTTGCCAGTACGGGCAAAATTATAGTAACCAGTAATAAGCCAGCACTGGTAGATATTCAAAATTCAGGGTTCTTTTTGCTTTTTACATTACTTGAGCAGCTGGATCGAAGAACCGACTCTTCGCTCGAACCATTAACTATTAATAATAATAAATTATATTATAATAACTATTAAATTGTTATTTTTTATATTAATATTTTATTATTCAAATAATTTCTTCAAATTTTATAAAATATATATATTTATTTGTATTTCTTTAAATTACTGAAATTGAATGAAATTATTGGTTAAAATAGAGTTTATTTGATTGAAATATATTTTTTCAGTGTAAGAAAAATAATTTGAGTACTTCATTAATTATGTATTTCTTTTATTAAAAAGTTTTAATATTGAATTTAAATTTCATGATTCCGTTAACGAATGTAATCGAAAAGAAGTATTAAAATAATTTAAAACAAATATGTATGTAAATTTAATTTCTAACCATAACAAAAATACACAATTTTCACGTCTATGAAATTGGCGTCGACGCTCAACATTGAAAATTATTTTTCACGGGACCAAAAACAACAAATCATTTTTAAAAAAGTTTTGGGTTCACATAATACCTTAAAAAGTATTTCTTAAGACATTACATATTTGGACCGAAAATCTTTTTAAAAAAAATAATTTGACATTTTTGGTCCTCTGAAAAATAATTTTCGGCGCTGAGCGTCAAAACCAACTTCATGGAGGTCAATTTTCATAACACAGCCACACAAAAAAAAAAAAAGTTCTGATCTGGGGGTCTGACTATATATATTTTCTATGTCTTTTGGGTCGCTGAATCCGAATCCGAGGCCCATTCAACCCCATCACATCAGGTTTTTGAAAAAACCTCAAAAAACCAAAATGGCGGACACTTTTTTGGAAAATTTATCGGATTCGCTTGAAACTCGCTACTCGGGGGTTTTTGGGGTCGCTGATTACGAATTTGAAGTCAGTTTTCAAAAATTCAAAATGGCGGATCCAATATGGCGGATATTTGTTTGAAAAATGCTGGATTTGCTTGAAACTTGCTACTCGGGGGTTTTTGGGGGCGCTGATTACGAATTTGAAGTCAGTTTAAATTTATCATATCAGGATTCGCACATAATCTAAAAAAACCTACAATTTGTGCTATTAAACGCGCGTAATATCTTTAGTTTCAATGTTTATGTTATCACGTCTATTTTACTATATAATGTACCGTCGGCATTTGCGTTACCCAATGTACACCACGTGGAGGTGCCCTGGACGCAGGCACACGCAAGATACAAAGTAAATACGGGTGAATTAAAACACTCAAGTTTTTGATTTCTCAAAAGAACATCTTTATTGGATTCGCCATTTTAAATTTTGTAAATTGGACTTCAAATTCGTAATCAGCGACTTCAAAAACCCTCATGTAACGTGTTTCAAGCGAATCTAATAAAGTTGACAAAAAATCCTGCCATAATGGATCCGCCATTTTGAATTTTTGAAAACTGACTTCAAATTCGTAATCAGCGACCCCAAAAACCCCCGAGTAGCGAGTTTCAAGCGAATCCGATAAATTTTCCAAAAAAGTGTCCGCCATTTTGGTTTTTTGAGGTTTTTTCAAAAACCTGATGTGATGGGGTTGAATGGGCCTCGGATTCGGATTCAGCGACCCAAAAGACATAGAAAATATATAGTCAGACCCCCAGATCAGAACTTTTTTTTTTTGTGTGGCTGTGTAATTTTTCTGAATACTGGCATTCGGTATTGAACTAATACTGACCGAGTACTGGTTTGCCATTACTGTCTCAATAATACTGGCACAGTACAGAATTTAATCCATATCAGTACTGAGCCAATGGAGGAGCAGCACGGTTTTAGGAGGGGGCGTTCAGTTTTGACTAATTTATGTCTCTATACTCAATTCTTGTCGGACGCCTTGGACGGCGGTTTGCAGGTTGACGCAATTTATACCGATTTTTCAAAGGCGTTTGACAAGATTGATCATAATATTCTCTTGATTAAACTTAGGGCTTATGGCATATCTGGTACGGAATTGGAGTGGTTTTCTTCCTATTTGTGTGATAGGCGGTAGGTTGTCAGAATCAATGGGATTTTTTCTCAAGAATTTTTTTCTACATCAGGTGATCCACAGGGCTCTCATCTAGGCCCTCTCTTGTTTTTGATTTATGTAAATGATATGAAGGACTGTTTTATTAATAGTGAGTTTCTAGCTCTCGCCGATGATTTTAAATTATTTAAAATAATTAAGTCACAATCATGTACTCATGAATTACAGGACGACCTGGATAGAGTTTACCTGTGGTCTACTAAAAATTTTCTACCGCTAAATACCTGTAAATGTACGGTAATGTCATTTCATAGGAAATCTAAAGTTGTTAATTTTTATTATATCTGCGGGACACCACTTGCGAGAGTGAATCGACAGCGAGATTTGGGACTTATTATTGATTCTGCTCTTACTTTAAATGATCATACTGCATCTGCAATTAACAAATCATTGAGGGCACTTGGTCAGGTTGTAAGATCTGGTAAGGTGTTTCACGATATGCGCGTTCTTAGGGTTTTTTTGTTTTTTTCTCTTGTGAGGCCTCATTTTAATTTTCTTTCAACAATTTATTCTCCACAATATGAATACCAGAAACTGAGGCTGGAGAGAGTACAGAACAGGTTCCTTAGATTTGCAGCAAGACAACTTGATATACCTTATGATTATTTTTTCCATGATTATTCTGAATTGCGAGCAATCTTGAGGATGCCTTCAGTACAGTGTAGATTTCTTAAGTTAGATTTGCAATTTTTTTATAATATTCTCAACGCCCGAGTCAATTGTCCGGAATTGCTGTCTGGAATCTCGCTGTCGGTTCCTTATATTTCGTTAAGGAACAGACCTATTTTTAAAGTACCGTTTTATCGTACTAACCTTAGTGGTAATTCGCCTCTCATACGTTTATGTCACGAGGCTAATCATGCAGAGTCTATCGACTTCTTTGACAGCCGTAATTCCAGTTTTTTGTTCGAGTTATCGAAATATTTAAGTAATTTTGATTAGGTAGAGTAGTCACACTCGTCTTTTTTTTGTTTAAGTTTTTCTTTTAGTTTGTAAATTTTTTGTTCATAATAAAGGGTATTTTTGTAAACCCGTGGACAAATAAACCAGTATTGGTGCATGATTGCGCCAGTTGTCAATATCGGCATTTGACAGAAATTTTTGCTTGGGTAATATTAATATATTAAATATTTAGATTAATTTATTCTATTTAATGTTTGGATACGAAAATAATGTAATTTTTTTAAAACATTTTTAACACTACGAGCATATTTTTTTTCCTTATAAGAAGTAATTCATCAAAAAGCAGCAAATAAAGAAGTTGTTGAAAGAAGATCCCATTAGTTTCATCTTACATATACCCCATAAGAGCCAACTAAATAAGTTTGTTTAGAAAATTTTTTAAAAATAAAAAAATGAAAAGGCACTTTGCGGTCTTTTAAAAAGAAGTTGCGCTCTTCACCTTGACTTTTTCAAAGCAGAACACATGAAATGCAATGTCTGTTAAGTATGTTTCATTCGGCGAATAATATTTTTCTCTTCTGCACAACATCATAAATGCCAATGAGTCTCCGGTTCGTTTGATCTTTTCCAAAATAGAGAGAACGTTGAACTCCTTCTTTTTTTCTCTCTCAACTTGAAAACTGTCTCTGTCTTTTCTCTTTTTTAACGATTTTTTAGAAATTCCTTTAAAGATATAATTCTTAAATTGAGTGACACTCAATTCGATATTTTTGAAGCCATTCACAAAACTTAGATATTTTAATTTTCAAATTTTAAAAAAATATCATTTTTGTCAAAATCATAAATTCGAAATGATGTTTCAAAACATTATTAATTAAAAAGAAAATTAATTTTAATCAAATTAATTAAACATTAAATTCATTAATATTGCAAAATTTTTATTTTATTATATCATTGAAATTATTTAAATTTTGTAAAATATTTTAAAAAATTCTAAACTAACAAAATTAAAGGAAAAAATTCTTATAAAACGAGCTATAATACGCAAGGAGAAGGTTATCTGAGAAAGAATAACACTTGATTATATCTTCTTGACGAAATGTATCTTGATGTATGAAAAGCTATTCTACAAATACAATATCACTAGAATATTCTATATCCTATAATGAAATGCCAACAAGGATACGAGGCTCTTTACAACAGAGAACTCGAAAAAAATGAAATCCATTACAAGGATCACAATTGATTCTTTTTTTTATCGCGTTAATTGAAATAATTCTCCTCCTGCGAATTAATACGTGTTTCATTCTTATTATATATATATATATATATACAATTGACGATTTATTCATAAAAATCACCACTAAAAAAATTCAAGTGCGTCCATAGCTGACGTATTCTTTTTTTCTTTTTATAAATCGTCTAAATTCATTCGTATACAGTAATTAACAATTAATAAGATAATCGCATTTTCACGATTATTAAACATTTCATTTTTTTGTAACTAATCGCAAAATTAAAGGCTGAGAGACTGAGCAAAAAGAGAATATATTGAAAAAACTTGAGCGACCATTAAACGGTTCTCTCTTTCTCTCTCTCTCTGTCTCTCTATCTATCTCTCTTGACATTATTAACAAAAGTCAAGTCTTTTGTTTATTTCTTTTTTTTTTAACAAAATTTCAACTTTTGGTCAAAATTATCACTTTTTTTTTTATATAATACAAAAAAAACGATGATACAATAAAAACGAATTAAAAGTGCACTTTAAATATTACTTAGAAAAAAAATATTTACTTTTTTTTGTGACTGTGCACGAGAAAAAGCAGAGCAACTTACACTCACTGGTCCTGGTAGACTCGGAGCTATCAATAGAATAATTATTATAAAAAAGGCAAGATTCAATTTGAAAATCTACCTTCATCTTCCAGGTTCGAGCGCATTTTTTTTTTTTTTTTTTTCTTTGAAAGCTCAGATTTCTCTAATCATTTGTTCAATTGTTTTTCTACAACACGTAAATACATACATATACATTTTTTTATATATATAATCTAAGAGCTCATCAAGAGAAGAAGCATTCTGCCAAAATACTTCGAAAGATCACAGATACACTGTAAAAAAATATATAAACAATTAATTAGAAATATAAAAAAAAAAAACAAAACAAAAATTTACAGGCAGAAATGAACTTCTTCTCGTGGAATAATTTTTCGCCTCAGGTTGCTCTGATACCTTAGTTTCTTTTTTACCTCGCCCTCTAAAATACTATCTTTTCATAGTTTTTTCACCGGTTAATTATTATATACTTTAAAGAGACCGGGGATATGATCGATCCAAGACGACATTCAATGTCGCGGAAATTTTTTGTTTTTTGAAACCCGACGTATATGATTGCACATCGACTTTCAAAATGGCAGTAGTTTAAGACGATTTTTTTTTTTTTTTTTTAATTGAACAGAGATGGATACGCTTTTTTTTTTAAAAAAAAAAGCTCAGTTCTAATTCGCCGCAATAACAGTTGTTGCAGCAGCTGTTGATGACGATGATGATTTCTTTTTGAGAACGATGTCCTTGATATTTAGATTCACCTTCTCCTTTCGTGGGGGTGGTACTGACTGTAGACAAAATCGTTTAAAGGCTTCTAGCTCACGTTCTGCGTCGTCCATTTCACCGTCCTCGAGGTCTATATCTTTTGGCGTGAATACACTCTCTGCAAAAGACACGCTCTCAATACTAGAGATCGGGCAAGTGCTTTTTAAGGGAAAAAAATAAGAAAAAAAAATAACAGAAGAGTAAATAAAGAAACTTAGGAGAATAGAGTTTCTTTCTTTTCTACTTGCGCTCCATGCTTTCTGATTTTCGAAACAATTTTCTAAAATTTGCACAATATCTACATAATTTTTATTGGAAATACCAAAAAAATGTACTAATCAATAATAGTAATAATAAATTTAAATGTACTGAAAAAATTGAAAATTTAACGTTTTTTATATTTATGATTTTATTTATTGAAAGATTTTAATTATATTCTTCAGAAGATATCTAATATACTTTTTGTTATTTTCGAAAGAAATGTGTCCTAATTTTACTTTTTGCACTTCGTGTTGATTGTTTTTTTTTTTTAAGAAGGAGAGGGACTTGTTGAGATTGACTTTTGTTATATTTCTCTAAATTTTATGATTTTTTGTGTAATTTGTCGTTTTTTTTAACTAAAAAATATCTACAATTTCCATTTTTGATTTTATGTCAAAAATATTGTATTTCATTTTCGTCAAAAAATTTAGAAATCAAGATTATTTTTTTTTATTTTCTTTAAAATAAAAAATTGTGTAATTTGTAATTCAGATATTGTGCCCATTTCAGAAATATGTTTTTTATTTGTATAAACAAAAATAATTAAAAATGTTGTATTCGAATTTTCTTAAACGGCTAAATTAAATTAAATTGTGTAAATAGTGAAATTAATTAATTAACATTAAATTGAATAGTGCAATTCATAAATTATATTTTACAACTAATAAATTAAAATCAAGTCGTTACAGTGAAAGAAATTAATTATTCAATTTTACTAAATTATTTTACGACTTAGGATGTGTATTTTTTTATAATTAGTAACTATTATTTATATTATAAGTAATTGAATAACAAAATAATCAAATGAAAATATATTAGTAAGTGAAAATTCAAAAAATCAAATATAAATTTGACATTTTATTTTTAAAGTCGATAAACTTGATGTTAAATTTTCCATAGCTAATCTTTTCTTTCTTATACGAAAGTTTCACATCTTCACATTTAATTTCTGAATCGAAAAATTCTTTTCGTAAAATTTATTACATAATCAATTTCTCTCAGTACATAAGTGAACAATTATTCTAAAGCGTGCAATTTAGATAATAATTTTCCAAAATAAAATTTAAATGATAAATGAAATCAGTTTATAAATGAATAGAAAAATATAAAGAAAGGAAAAATTCAGTCTTTTCAAACTTTAAATAAAATTATTATCAAAACGCTTACTATATTAAAAATGAAAATTTATATATTTTATAATTTAATTATTTCTTTTAAATGAATTTTTATTTACTTCTATTTTGTTTTAGTTAAACTTCACGCGAATGGAAGTGGAAAAGGCTAAATGCAGAAAAGGAATCGGGTAAATGTCGGCATCTGCTGTACATTTGTCGACGTACTGCATGGGTATGGGATGCAAAATCTATTTTTGATCCCAATTTCATCAACTACAGTTGATCACAACAACAACAATAAACACCAACCAAAACAAAAAATATCGCGACAAAGAAATACTTCCTAAAAATTGTTTTTTTTTTTACATACATTTTTTATTGAAGAAAATAAACATAACATTCCGACAAACTAACAACCTTCACATTATTCGACTTAAAGTTAAAACCTTTTTCCGTCAACGAATTTGATAAAAAAGAAGTTATCTCCTTTTTTTATTTTCAAAAAATTATATTCACAAGAACTTTATAAAATATTGAAAATTAGTTATTACTTGTAATAAATTGAGAAGAAATATATATTTCAAAAAAAAAAATACTGTAATCGAACCCATGCAGCAATCAGGAAATAGTTCCATTTAGGAAGAAATAGAATTTGAAAATTTTTTCGAGAAAAAAACGTCATTTTATTTTGTGTAATCAGCAGATAAAAAATATCTCCTTTTTTTAAATATAGTATCATCTAGCAATAATTTCCCTGTACTTCAATATCACATTTGGTTTTCTTTACTTTAGAAAGCTAGGACTATAATAGGACATCAAAAAACAGTTTCTTTTCTTTTTTTTTTATACAAAGTATAATTAGTAATATACGATTGTGTTACGCGATCTTATTTTGTTCATTTCTCTTTTGAAAATCTAAGAAAAACAAAAAATACCTTAATACGTAGACTAAAACTAAAAGAAATACCTCCTAAATATTTAACTAAAACGCGCTCATTCGTAGTACGGACAAGAGAAAGAAAAAAAAAGCTTGGACTAGTGAGCAATAAATACCTTAACGAAAACAAAGTAATCTAAATTGTATATAACACGATTAATATATAAATATAGAAATCTGGATTCTGAGGTAAAACTTAAAGTTTAAAAATTAGCAAAGGTACTGAGATCTTAATTTGTGAGTGTAGTGTATGTTTGTTTGTGAACAGGTGCAAAAAAATAAAATAAAATTGACAAGACAATGTAATACTCACAAATAAATAATATACGAGATAAATATGTGAGAAAAAAAAAGTTGGGAAAAAGCTGCATTTAAACAATATACAAATCTGAATTCCCTGTCTACGAAAACGCCTATTTTTTAAATATAAATCTTATTTTCAAGAAATTCCATTCGACCTCTTGAAAGTACAATTGACAACGTCATTTCTCCGATATTTTCAACTCTCTCTCTCTCTCTTTCTCTCTTTCTGTCGATTCTAATTTGTCAAAACGCGTTTGCATTCTTTTCTTTAAAACAAATAAAAGAAGCGGAAATTTACATGATTAAAGTTTGATTATTGTTGTTTCTCACCAACGAGGTTCCAGTCATCGCCGCTTTGCCTCGCGCCATTTCCGCGCTTTTTCTTTTTCTTCCCCTTACTGCTGCTAGTAGTAGTGGTGGTGTTGGTGTTGCTATTGTTACTATTGGTACCGCTACTTGTAATCGTCATCGATGCATTAATCGCCTCCCTTACAGCTGTTTTCGCCTGTTCATCTAGAGTTGCTTCCGGATTTCTCACCTTCGTCAATGTCACACTTGTACCCTTAAGATTAATTCCACTTTCGGGTATCGGTTGACCGCTTGCGACCTTACTGATTTGAATATTAGCGAGATCACTTAAACTGGTGCATTCCTGTGTTAATCGACTACGTATTTCAGTAATACTCGACGGTATTATGCCATTATTTTGTTTATTATTTGATTTAGCGGCATTTAAATCGCCTTTAATGATGAAATCCGGTTTTGGCGGAGGCGTTAAACCGGCATTAATAGCTTGTTGCAAGGCTGGACTTCGGATTGTAACCATACCGTTCTCTGAGACTTTTATGATGGCTGCTTGTTGTGATACGGGTTCCATTTTTGGTGGACCGAAGGCCGGATTTCTAATTGTCACCATATTTGTTTGTGGATTATGAAGAATTTTTGCCACATCATCGCCATGTTGATGATGATCATTTCCAGAATGATCGTTTCTCTGTAATATTGTCATATTACCAGATGATGCTGACGATGGATTATTATTTTGATTTGCAGCATTCTTATTCTTCTTCTTTTTCTTCTTTTTGCCACCCTGGGATTCCTTCGTGGAATCTGAAAAAAAAATAAAAAAAACGGCATCAATTGATTTGAATAAATCGGTGTTTAAATATATTTTTAACTATTTTTTTCTTACAATGTTGAAGTCCACAACGTTTATGATCAACGATTAGAAGACAAATTATTTTTTACAGCAGAAAATTATAAAATTTTGTGTCAAAAATGTTTTATTATAATTTGTTTATCAATAAACATTGCAAAAAATATCTTCGTAGCCAAAAAATCATAGAATCTTTCATTCAAAATTTTTTTTTTTCAAATTGTTGATCATAAACGTTGTAAACTTCCGCAACGATTTATATTTTTGAAAGGTTTTGTGAGGAGAGAATATATTTATGAACTTTTAATATTTGACAAAAACAATCATTTAATGTTATAAAAAAAATAAAAATGTAAGTATTATAAATTGTTAAATTAAATACAACATTTTTTTCATATAAATTAGAAAAACTACTCAAATAAAATAATGTTTAATATTTTAATTAAATTAAGAAAATTTAAAACTTCAAAACTAATATAGCTTACCCAAAAAATTTCGAAAATTAAAATTAAAAAATTGAAACTAAAGTATAAGTATACAATATATTTTTTTTGTAAAGCATAAAACAGAAAATGAAAAAAATTCTATTATTAAAAATTTCATAACTCGAAATTTTGAGCACTTATAAAAAAATAAAAAAATACGTAAACCTTTTTTTCTACAAAGAATAAGAAAAAAATATATATTTAGACGAATTTAAAAGGTCATAGGTAAATCTCACGTGGAATTTAACACTTAAGACTTATATAGGGCTCGGATCGATTTTAAGACCCAAAAAATATAATTTTAGTCTCATTAAATTATAAAATTTTCAGCAATATTTTTGAGATGAAATTAAAACAATTTTTAATTTCAAACACATTTATAAAAAATGTTAAATGAAATATTTAAAAAAATGTCAATACTTAAATTTCTACTTTTATATTAACAATAATTTGTAATACTCTCTTTTTTGGGACAAAAATCTGCTTGACAATATTAAAAAAAAACTATAATAATTGTACTATGTTGATTAATTATAATGAATTATAATTGTTCTGTATTGTATGACAATAAGATACTTTATGAGAAACTATTTTTGCTACTTTATTTTAATTTAAAATTTAAAAAAATACTACTCTCATTAATGAAAAGTTAATTACTTCTAATTTACACTATAAAAGTCGAATACTCCGAGCCGTGTATAGCTAAACAAAGCCAAAAATTAAAAAATTAAAATTAAAGAATTGAAACCAATAAAATTAAAGAATGTAAAATATTTTTTTTTTATTTAGTTTTTTAATTAAAATAAAAATCTTACCTTTATCTGAATTTTTTGGAATGAGATCCTGCTTCAGCTTTCCAGTATCAACAACAATAACATTACCATTGCCTTGCGGATTAGCGTAACCGGACGGAGTGTTACTCATTGGCGAAGCAATAATTGTCGTTTGCTTCGGTGGATTTGTCGGTTTGAGCTTCTGTGCAATTTTTAATGGAAAAGGCTTGACGGGCGTGTCAACTTTTGTAATCGTAATACCGGGCGGTAACTTGAGATTCTCAATATTAATTTTAGAATTTGCGCTAATATCCTTAAATTGGCTACTCAATGGTGGTGTCACACATTCATTAACAGCACGTTGAACATCGACATTTTGTTTCTTTTTATTATTATTATTATTATTACCATTATTCTGATTAATTTTTGTTTGACTTTTCTGGTTATCAGTCTTATTGGCGGTTGCCTTTCCACTGGTATTATTGTTGTTATTATTATTACTATTAGCTTTGTTATTTGCGCTCTTATTGTTTTTTTTGGCTTCCTTTTGAACATTTTTATTCTGCTCTTGTTGTTTTACTTTCTTATTGCCCGTTTCGTTGTTGTTATTGTTATTATTATTAGCATTAGATTGTTTCTGCACTTGAGGTGATAAGTTGTTCTTGTTTTGTTTTTTGTTCACGAGATTCTGTTGTTGTTGTTGTTGTTGTTGTTGTTGCTGCTGCTGATTTTTCGTTTTGTTCGAAACATTATTTTGTGTCTGGGAAACATTTTCTTTGTTCTCAGAATTCTTTTTATTTTTCTGTTTCGTTGGTTTTACTTCGGCTGAAGATTGTTGTTGTTGCTGCTGCTGTTGTTGTTGGACTTTAACAGATTCGACTTGTTTAGCACTCTTGGATTTTTCATTTATAGTTTGTTTAACTGTTTTATTCTCATTTTTATTTGTTTTAACATTTGATTGTTGGGATTTATTTTGTGAAACTTGATTATTAATATTATTAACTTGATTCGCGTTATTATTGGCATTTTTGCTTTTCTTTTTATTCTTCTTACCAGAAATAGTTTTTCCTTGATCAGACTTGGCGGGCTCTTTTGTTTGTCCATTGACAAGGGTGAATAATACTTTGTCTTCAGCGGGTGTTTGACCTTTGAGTGTGATGGTCACAGTTGGTTCGGCACTATTTGATTCCATGACACGTTTTATTGTCACGATTTGCAATTGATTTTCTGTTTCTTTTTTGGCTTCTTCCATTTTTCGCATTTCGCGTCTCAATTTTTTACGTTCTTTTTTTGTCAATGTGGATTCATCGATGGGTGGCGGCGGAGGCGTTGGAGGAGATGGAACAACTGTTTGTTTCCCGCTATTTTTATTATTATTATTTACATTGTTAATTTTATTATTGCCTTTTGTATTACCTCCTTTATCTTTTTTAGTATTATTTTTCGTGTTGTTCTGAGTTGAACTTAAAATTCCATCGACTTTATCAACAGACATTGAGCTTTTAGTCTTTTGATTTGCTTGAGCTACTACAGTTTTCGTTTTAGCGTTAGTTTTATTGGTAACATTAATGTTAGTGGGAGCTTCAAACTTGTCTTTTTTCTTATTCTTAATATTATTCGGTTTTAAAACATTTGATACGACAACAGGCGGTGACGCTGGAAGAATAGAAATCTCCGGTAAATTTCGATGTGGATGAAATCTCTGTGGCATTGGTCTCTGAGGATCGACAACAGTGATAGTTACTTCTGGTGTTTTCTTTTGTATTTCTATCAATTTCTGCCTCTCATCTTCCAGTCGCTCCTGTTTAAGCTTCTCTTCATGCTTAAAATGTAAAGAAAAAATTTTTAAAATCATTATTGATGTTGGTTAATATTTTTTAAAATTAAAATTATTTGATTAATAATAAATTAGTAAAAATAGTTATAATTTAAAATAAAAAATAATTTTAATTAAATAATTAATTTTTTTTTATATAAAAAGTAAACTATAAATTAAATTTTTTAAAAATTACCTTTCGTTGTTTCTGTCGCGCTTTCTTTTCAGCCTTTTTATTATCTCTCTTCCCATTTTGACTGCCCTCTATGTATTCGAGTAAAGCGTCTAAATCTCTTTGATCTCTATTATCAAGAAGGACAGTCGAAGCTGTGGATAAAGGTGTATTAGATCTTGGCGCCGAATGACTTGATGTTGTTGTCTTCGATTCTGAATTTGTGTTAGACGGTAAGGATTCTGCAGAACTTTTTGACGGACTGCACACAGCTTTGCATTTAGTAGCTTTCTTTTTTGTTAATAATTGTCTCAATCTGTCTCTCATTTCGTTATAATTACGACTGACAAGAGCAACAGAAGTCTGTAAATAACATAAATTATTCATTATTATTATGTTTCTAATAATACTTTCCATATAATTAAATTTTTCATTTTCATAAATATTTAAATTTGTTAGTGAAAAATATTTATTCGTCACTGATAAGTAAAATTTTGACAAAACAAACACTTATTAAAGAATATTAAAAAATTAATTTTTAATCAAATTTTGCAATTTCAAAAAATTATAAAATAACCAAAAAAAAAATTTTTTTCCAAAATTTTAGATTTTACTTACAACATGTTTCCGTGTATTTTTCTCTTTTTCATTAGTTACTTTCGACATTTTTTCTTAAATAAAAAAAAAAATTTTAATATTAGAAAATTAGTTATAAACATACAACTCCGTGGCCAAAGACTTCACAATAACAGCAATCACAATGTCGATTTGAATCTCGTGGTGACGAACTACTTGTCGAACAAGAATCTTCGTGACTGCTTCCTGAATCTGAACAATCGCCGTCCCCAGGACTCACTACAGACGCAAAAGAAATATCAATGATTATACAATAACGTAAACAAGACAATATTTACACAAGATACTCAAAATATATCATAATATGAAAATAATAACAAAAGAATTAGTAAGCTTGTGGTTGTTTTGAAATTGTATAAAATTGTCAACATATAGAAATTAATTAGAATTATTTTTTGAATAACATTTTAAATAGGGAGGAAGGTAAAGAGAGAAATACTAACAATCACTACAAGATACTCTTTTGATGTGTTCAACAACATGTTGTTTGTGACAGGCGATGGAAGACTGTGAACCATGATTGTGAGCCTTGTGTCCAGAACTTGAAGTTTTAACATCGTGAGAATGCGCAGAACCTGAAAATTGAATTTTTCAATTAAATATCATTTAATTTTGTTTAATCTATTTTCATCTATTTTTTATCAAAAATATTTTCATATTCTCTTCATTTAATTTGATTAAATCTGTTTAATAATATTAATAATTAAATTCCTAAAGCTTTTCAAGCAAGAGTACTTAAAAAAAATTGTAAATTTTTTTTGTGTGTAACTTTAATTAAAAATGAAAAATAATTAATTACCTTGACAAGAAGTGCGATTATGATGGTGAGTCGAATTTTTTGTTTGTGTCGTCGAGTGTCTCGTTTGGATTTGAGAAGAAATCGTCGTACTTGGTTTCATTACAACTTCTAAGGGTTCCTGATCAGATTTCGGAGTAACCACTGTAACTGATTGCTCCTCCAAATGACCATTTGGCATATCAATATCATCTGAATGGTGAGAAATAATTAAATTTTGTACTATTTTATATGTCTTAAAATTTATTTAATATTATGAATTAAATATAATTTGGATATTTTTCTTCTTGACTTTTAAAAAAAAAATGAAATTCTGTAGACTTACTTGTACTTAAGCATGGACACGCGTCGAGTTTTCGTTTTGAATTCAATAAACAAGGGCAAGGTGGGTTATCGACTTCCCTTCGTTTTTCAGCGATATCTTTGGTATGTTGATAGACACAGGGACACGATTGGAAATCAAATTTCCTAAAATCATCGTCCTCTGCGATACAATTTGGCCTCTTTTCAATCGATTCACCATTTTCAGTCTCACATTCCACGAGTGTTTTCGATTCAGTGCTATTAAAATTCGACGCCGAATTTTCTTGCGTTATCAATGAATCGGAATTGTCATCACACGGTATCGCAGAATTCACATGGTTATAAAGGTCTTTGATCGCTAAAAAATTTGACGCTATGTATTTTTCCATTCCTGCGTATTAAACAATTTTCTTTTATAAGAATATTATTATATTATAATAATACATCCTAATAAAATACATTAAATAATCAATTCAATTTAATTGGTTATTAAGTGAATTTAAGTACAAAATAAAATATATTAATTAAAGGCATATGTTAAATAAATATCAATGATGATATAAATTTTGAAGTAGAATAATTTTTGGTTTTCTGTAACAAAATTTTTAAATTTTCTTTTTATCTCTTATCATCTCCAAAAATATCAAAATACAATTGGAAACACTTATTTAGAGTATCAATATCACTGCCAATTTTCAAAATTCTCATACTTTCAGATTTTCTAAGAGTGAACATTCTTTTAAATTTTGAATTAATATATAAATGTAATATATGTACCTGCAATATCATTATTTAATGATTTGTCTTTAGTAGGTGATTCCTCTTCCGTTGACAGTTCTTTCATCTACAAATAGAAAATCGTTTATCAATTTATTGATATTGTAAATTATTGTCTTTTTGGAAACTAATTTTTAAAAATTCATATTTATTTTACCATGAAGATATTGGAATTTAAAAGAGGAGACAAAGTGCAATAAGTACAATTTTCTTCGTCGATATTCAATGACGCATTAACATGATTTTCACTGCAGTTGCTTCTAATCCGTCTGAAGAGAAAAATCATTTTAAACAGTTTTATCAACTTTTTAATAATAATAACAATAGTAAAAAAAAATAATTCAATGCTAATTATAATTTTAATAATAATACCTTTTTGCGATCAAAGTAGCGAATGACTGAATAACAGTCGATGCACATTCGAATCCACATTGAAACTCGAGATCATTCATGTGCGGATGATTAGGTATATTTATACCATAATCTTTAACAGTTAAATGGTCCTTTGAAACAATGATCGACTTTAAGACATCAACTAACCTTTGGTGTGACGTTTTAGCATCAAGTAAAAATTGTGCAATGTCGTGTTTAGGAGGAATACTGAGTGTATCTAAAAGACATACTGGACTTGGAACTCTACCGTTAGAACCGTTTGTACAAACTTCCTGAGAATCCTTTAATAATTGATTATTAGTTTCCTGAAGTCTGAAAAATATTTTTCAATATTATTATATTCCGAAAACAAAAAAAAAATAATTTTTTTAATTTTTGCAACTACTTAGTAGAAAATTGGAAAGTTATTTGAAATGTGGAAAAAAATTACATACCTTTCGTGTCTTTCATATGTCTCTTGCTGTTGTACTTGTTTCCACCATGTTGTAAAAGTTTCCCAACCTTTTCTGAATCTTCTCAATTTTATTAATCGCGCCGCTTGTTCCATGCTGAAAATTTGACAATTTTAACAATTATTAAAAATTTATTTTTACAATTTATGATTACAAATTGCAAAAAATCAATTAAAATATTTTATTTTATATCAATTATTAAAAAATTAATGTTTCCTGTTTTTAAATTAAATAAATAATTAATTTTATTTTTACAACTTACTTATGTTTATCTATTAACTGCACAGCTTCCGGCCAGAGATTACCAACTTTTGTCATTTCATCATCAAACGCAAGATACCTGTGAACGAGACCTTGATATTCGGTGCTTTTTAAAGGCAGCAACTTCCTTAACTGTCCAATAAAAGGTGGAAGTCTATTTTGGATTAAAGGATCCGTGTAAACGTAATCCTGATAAAGCTTTTTATTGAAACACTCCCATGTTAAATTAAACTTTTGAAAATACTCCTTTTCCACCGGTTTTATTAACTGCGAAACTTGTAAGGCAGTTGCGATCAAGGCATCGTATCCATCCAACATTTCTAAAAAAAAATATATATATATATATTTTTTAAATATTTTTATATAAAAACAAGAACAAAATTACGTTATAAGTAGGAATTATTTTTTCTAATTTCTATGCACTTAAGAAAAAATGTTTAGTACGTACTTGTTAAGAAAACTTCCGACAAATGATTAATTCTCAAATTTTGAAGAAGGGTTAAAAGTTGAACCTTGACTTCCACTACAAATTCCTGCGCTTGACTCACTAATCTCATGGAAAGTTGATGAGGATCGCTTTTACACAGCCTAAACAAAATATGTTTATTATAAAATTAAGAAATTTTACATTGTATAATTTGATAAAATTGCCGAAAATTATTTACTGTAAAACAGTATTCTGTAAACTGCTTTGTCGAGAAGAATCACTCTGAATTACTGGCGAGTGAGGTACATTGGACGTTGTCATTGCTGTATGATAAACAGAATGAATGTGTTTTCTTAAATCTGTCCAAAGACTATTTAGCCTTAACGCTCTTTCCATTTCTTCCATAAGAATTCTCCTATTATTAAAAAATAAAAAAGAAAGTTAAATAATTATGTGAGATCAATAAAATTTATATATTATTTTTGTTAAAAAAAAATTAATTAATTAATAAAAACATTACCTCTTAACTCGGCACATTTCACATCTGCAAGGATCTTTAGCGCGATGTGAAGAGGAATCATCAGTAAAATTTTCTGAAGAGTCTTTATTACTTTTCGATAAAACATTACTGTCCTCCATGTCTGTATTATCTGACATTTCGCAGTTTTCCGCTATCTATTTAAATAATCAAAATAGAATATTACAAAATAATAAAATCAAATAAATTAATTAAAAATATTATTGAAAATTATAATGATAATTAAAAAATTGAATAAATTAAAACCAAAATTCACTAATTACAATTATTGTTATTTGTATTATTTTTTAATAACATATTGACGTATTAAACTAATAAATATAAGTTCGCTTCAAACGTCATTATAAGTTTTAAAAAATTGTTATCTACCTAGGCAAAAATTATTAATAATACGAAAAAAAAAATAAATACACGTATAATATTAATAAGTTGAAATTTCCATAAAATAATTATTTATTTTCTATCGTTATATCTGCAAAAAATCTCATACATAATGAGACGGGATAGTAATCTAATGATTATAAATTCACATGCTAGGTGTTGCTTAACTTAAATACCTCGTGAACTAAATAATTTACTAATTATTTATTTAATATTAACGTGATAGAAGTTAATAAAGTTTTTCCATATAATTTTTTAAAAATAATTTTAAACTTTTAGCTGTAACTTACATTTAATAAGAAACGATTTTTTTTATTTTCATTATTTTATTTATTTCTTAATATAATAAAAAAACAAATTTTATAATAAGTAAATAAACATATGAACTTTTTAAAAACCTTTTTTATTTTATAACGCGAAGGATGTTATTTACCATTAACATTTAATTTTTTTATTTATCTGTTTCTTTAATTTATTTTTAAAAAATGTTGAAATTGGTTATAAATTAAATTATTCTTAAGTAGTATGTAGAATTTTTTATGAAACTAGTTTTAAAATTAGATTTATTTGACAAAAATGTTATTTTTCAAATAATTAACAAATGTTACAATAACTGAATTGATTGTTAATATTGATTTTTTATAAACAATGATTAGTTTGTGATATAACAATGATTACGACATCAAACATTAAATTAAAAAAAAAATACAAAATGTTTGTCAAATATTAGTTTACAATTTTTTTCTCAAATTACAAAAAAAAACCTTTTTATTATTGTACTAAATATCATAATTTTATTCTTAAAAAGGTTATTCATAAATCTGACATTTTCAATAATAATATGTAGGTGGTTTCACTTCAAACACAAACAGCGCATTATCGAATAAGTAAACTGACATTTAAAGTACAAATACAAGTTTCCTGGAAGTTTATGCAAATTAATTATTCAATTTATAGAACGAGAAACTATAACATGGTAATAAAACACTTGCAAAATTTGTAAATATTTTTGTTCTTACATTTAATAACTAGATTTATTTTTCACAGTCGCTTTTAAAAGTGATTTCATACTTTATTGCAAAAAAAATAAAAAAAATTTTTATGGTCTTTTTTTTACTTTGTTTTAAGTACCAATAATATACAATTGTTAATGAATTACACACAGCATCTCATTTGTATCATGGAAAAATCCGGGATAAAATTTCTCATAAATGAGTTAACGCTAAGGGAAGATTAAGGACAAATGGAAGCGTGCAAAAGAAAAAAAATTGTGAAAGCATGAGAATCTGCAATACCAAACTATGTGTGCGAAATCTATGAAAGGTGAAGAATCATACCTCGATAGAATTAGTTAAGGGAGTGTCACTAGGTGAAAGTTCATCAGCATCAGATTCTTGAGTACCATTAATATCATGCCTTAAACATTTTGATCTGAAACTGTCTTCGAATAATATGTTTTCCTGTTGTGAAACATCCTCGTTGTTCTCTTTTGCCAGGACGTCACCCATTACTTTCTCATCGCGTGCCTTCAAAGTCGCACAATTTTCCACCACACTATCACATTCACTCATTTTTTGTTTATTTGACAAATTATCTGATTAAAAACAATAAACGTACACGTAACACTTGCCCCGGGATATAAACTTGATAAATAGATGATTTTAAGGAATATTTTTGTTAAAGAGCCGCGTATAAACACCTTCAACCCGGAGAATCAACATCCGTGTCCAATATGGCGCCGTGCGTGTTGCGTGCTTAACTTAGATGGCGCTCGTTAAAATACATAGTGCGCATGCGTAAACGTGGTTCCGCGTTCCTTATTTCGCGAAAATTTCTGCAAAATTGATTTTTTAATTTTCAAAATACGGAATATTGAAATGATAATACAAGTGTTTGCATTTAAAAATCATCTACTATTTAGACAAAGACATTGGTATTAATTTAATAACAAATCAAGAAATGTATGTTTATAAAGGTAGATTTTTGTTCACACGAAAATAATTATATGAATATTTGTTTCCAATTAATTTTGATGAGATAATATTACTATGAAATTTCCACTATTTTAATTTTAATTATTAATCTTTATTAATATTGAATAAATATAAAATGTTTTAATTTTAATTTGTTTGCAACAGTTTAACTTCCTAAAATATAATTTAAAAAAATAAAAACGATAATGAAATTATTAAAACAATATAAAATTATAATAATCAATAGATATATCACCTGAAAATCGTAAAGTAGAAATTGGATAAAGGAAATAAAACATGTTTCTTCATAATATAAACATTTTCTTATTCAAACGTATCTTCTTACATTTACACAGTACAAAAAATTATACTCATAACCGCTGACCTGCGGTTTATAACCGCCTTGATTGAGGATAACCGTTGAATTGGATAGAATAGGACACTGGGGTAGATTTTATTTTTTTTTCTTATTTTCTTTTTTTTTTTAAAGGATTTAAGGGCTGTACATTGTCTTAGTCCATACACTTCACCCCCAATCGACGGTTTACTATTCTCTCATACGTACCATTATTTCTGAGCCATTCACGGATGCGCACTATCACACGCATTCATTCATAAAAAAAAATCATTCGTTTTGCAATACACTTAAACGCTCTTTTTTTCTTCACTCCCTATACGTTCGGCATCTTCAGCAACATTTAAATATCATAATTCTTCGTATTAATTAAATCGTAATAGTGATAATAATAATAACAATAACAACAATTATCATTATTATTATTGTTGTTATTATTATTATTATTATTATTATTATTCGAATAATGATATAGACTAACTATATACGCGTGTAAAGTGCTTTCCGTGTGGTGGAGTGTTTTTTTTTAATCACTTAATACCTAGGCATTTTTTCATATTTATATATGTATACATGTATATTATTTTATATGTATAAATGTTTGTATGTATTTACACGTAGCGAGAGTTTTGAATAGCTTTGTCTTGCAGAGACATTAATAATACATAGAGTACGCTTCCTACAACTTTATACACTGCCCGTTCACAGATAATAAGGGTTCTTTTTTGTTGCTTACAATTTTTCGTAAGATTAAAGTACTCGTTAATGCTAACATATTTGTTGGTTCTATTTATTTTTTTTTTATCATTACTCGTGAGTTATCATTTTAATCGAGTCGATGTATGCTAGACAAAGATTGAGATCAAAGAAATTGTAAATTCCAGGATTTGTGTTTTTCGTGTGTGTGTATGTGTATGGTTGTTTCATTTTTTTTTCTTTGCAAACTGCGCCTTGGACTCACGTAAGACTCTCAGCTTCATATAAATGCAGTTTATTGAAATCGCTATATCTTTCCAATTAGTAATTTTAAACAACAATAAGAAAAATCACACAGATACCCGCGGTTCTTTTTATTAATGTTTAATTCACTTTTTTCTTTCTTTATTTTTACAATTTCATAAAATTGTGGAAAGTAGAGACGTTCAATAACCGAAGGTACTTTCTCTTGTCGGCTGAGAGTCTGATGGAATTGGACATTTTTATTGTAAAAAAAAAAAAAAAAAAAATTTTGCACTATCGCTGTGTTACGTCGAGTGAATTACTTGATACGGGCTGTCGAACGTTAGGAACTCGATATACATTATTTATATGCGAATTCTCAATAAGTGTTTTTCTTACTTTTTCTTTGTTCAAGTGCTTTTACTAAACATTTTACTTTTCATATTTTCTCTCTTTTGTCCTAAATCGTTCAACATTGGCACTTAAAAAATTCGCATTATCTTTTCTTTTTTACTTACTACCGATTAATAAGAATCGAATTATTTCTTTCATCAGACGGCTCCTACAGTTGAATAAAAATAACACATGTTTTTTTCGATTGTTACTTCTATAAAGTTCGAAATTATCACGATGAAAGCGTAATTTATTAGTTTTTTGCAATATCAAGAAACTGTAAGAATTTGTTTTTTGGTTTTTTCCATAATTATTTCCATAGAAATAAATTGGCCTTCTGTTTATTTTAGATTTGCGAAAGGCAGTAAAATATATATTTATATAATATATACAAAGATCCCGTTAATTATCTCATAGTTCAAAACGATTCGGAAAGGACGATATTTTTCTTGACCGAAGGAATTTACAAAAAAAAAAAAATTCAAAAACCAAAACAGTCAAATTATTCACAAGTTTTTTGAAATGAACACTAAAAAAACTAGGCAGTGTTTTTTTTAAGTCACTCGATAACACATTAATTACAAAGAGATAAAAAAGATATCGTCCATTCGCTGAATCCAGACAACATCGAGAACACCAAACCATGAGAGCACACAAAAACAGATCGATACAAAACGTTGATCCGCCTAACGTCGACGACTTTCTAATTGCACAAAGTACCTTCATAGACAAAAAATTTTTTTTTTTTAAATCGGCAATCGCTATTTAGGAATTTCTTACAAATTATCGTTTATCTACATCTATAATCATATAGACAAGTGTGTATTAGATACAGGCACGATATAATTAATTACAAACAATGTATGATCCAAGTCCATCGGGTATCACAATGGTAATGGACACTGGGCCAAAATGGCCCGTTCCAACATTAACTGAGAATCTCACGGACTTCATTGCCCGATAATAAAGAGACATTTGAAGAATAGAGAAGTAGAAGGAGAAGAAGAAGTAGAAGAAAACTCAAAGGAAGAAATAACGAATAACCTCAAAATTGGCTCAGCCAATAAAAAAAAAACAAAAAAAAAAAAAAAAGAATAAATTTTCAAGCTACTCGTACAATATCACAAACTCCTTTCAACAATCCTCGTGAAGAAGGATCTCCTTCGGAACGTTTTCCATCTGATCTTCTCCAAATCATTATTCCATCGTTCACTTGCTTTAAGGAGCACCGCTCGACAAACACAAATAGTGTCGCGACTTTCGGAGCACGTACTTTTTTTTAACCACATTAGGGTCAAATATTTAACGAACAGCAGATCTTATGATCCTGATCAAGGATTTGCGCTACGTTTCATCCTTAACCTTTACCTCCGTATTGGTTGATGTTTTTGAAAGAGCGTCGTCTTTCGCATTGGACAGGACGGTTAACGAATCTTTCACTGCGTGATAAATAATGTTCTTAATTTGCAATTTGTCTTCATGATTGCTGTGTGTATCAGACAATGCTCGGAATTCTTGAGTGAGATGAAAGCAGTGTGATACATTTTCCGGCGACACAAAATCTTCAGCCACCTTGATGCAATTGTGCAGATTGCGAACTTGATGTGGTGCACCTGCCGGAACAAATACCGCATCGCCCAAACACTGCACTATGGCATATCTGAAATTTCAAAATAAACATCACATTAACTATTTGAAATTATGAAGCTAATTAATAAAATTATTATTTAACTATTTAAATTTAATTAACTTTATTTACAGGAATACAATTAATTATGCAATACAATAACAACTAATTTTTAAAATTTTTTGCTTACCCTTCAACGCCGTAATCACGATATAATCTTTCCCGAAGTGGCCCATCAAGATAAAAGCTTTGATCGTGAATTGGATCATGATGAGGCTCCAGACGAGCTCCCCGTTCTAGCGCAACTGCATTCAAGAGATCCCTGATTTTATCTGCATCTCGTGCAGGATAAATATGCCACAGGGCACCTGGCGCTTCTCCTCGCTCACGAACACGACGACGAGTTAAAATATCACAGCCTGCTTCATCCACTGCTCTTAGTGCCTCTGTAATTCCAAAAATCTCAAAATGTTAATCAATCCCCCAAAAAATCACTCTGATCAATTATTTTTAAATACAAATTAATTGAAATAATTTTTAAAATCTGAACAAACAATGGTAATGAAAAAATATAATTTTACCTTTAATATGCTCGTCATTGTCGCCGTCCTTGGGAATCCCCACGTAAACCATGACATTGACAGCGTCCGAAATATCAAGGTGAAGGTTCGTTGTGCCTTTATTAGGATGTAGAGCGGAACCATAAGCGTTATACATTTTTGGTCCAAGATCAGGCCTCACAAAACATTCGGGCAATCGGCTCGCGAGATTTAGTCGTCCCGTTCGATGTGTATATTCCGAGAGTGGTAAAGCTTTCATCAAATCAGCATATCTGGACGGCAGTAATTCCGCAAAATCTTCGCCCGGTGGCCAATCTTTCAATTTCAAGAGCATTGGATTTCCTCGATCGTCCTTTAATCTTTTGGAAAAAGTTTCAAAACCTTCCCAAAATTTGCGCATCGGTTGATTTGGCACCAAATTCCCAGTCATACAATTAACGAGATCATTCTTCTCGTCACCGAAATCCCTGCCAAAAGAATCAGGATGCCAGAGATCTTTGTCCAGGGCCTTGGCAACATCAGAAACAATCACCGGTTGTCCTCGTTTCCATTGATCTTGGAATATCCTGTAATTATTAGGATTATTCGGGTCGTTTAATCGAAGTAATTTACCGTCACATAACCACGCATGGGGCACGTCCGGATAAAGACTCTTGCTCTCGGTCAATGTCATAATTCTAATTGGCAGAGGTTCTCGTCCTCTCTGAGTCCATTTGTATCTTCTTACAAAATGTTTCAATTCACGTGGTTTCTCATCGTTGTCAAGACCACCGCCTCCTTCCTTCTCTTTTTTCACACTATGCTCAATAACACTGGAAATCACCTCATCCAATGTATCCATTTTAGACTTTTTGCCACTCTTTGAGACATTGTTCACTGTTGCATTTGGCGCAGAATTACTATTCGAATTATTTGTATTATTTGTCGGTGAGTTAGATCTTGAACCACTGCCATTTGATTTATTCGACTGATTAGGCCTGATCAATAATTCACGTAAAGTGGAATAATTTCCATCGCGATCTTCATCGGAATCAGAACTCGAACCACTGTCATTTTTATCCTCATTTTGTAGAGCAACATCAGCGAGCCAATTTAACGGTGAATTTTTATCCTCACCATTGGTTTTGTTCTCGGACGAGCCGTTCGATTCAATTTTCTTTCCCTCCTTCGATTCTTGTTTGACATTACCGTTCATGATAGTTAATGAATCACCTTTTATCAAATTTCTAAGTACTTCATTCACATTGACTTGAGTGATAACCGAGCAATTGCAGTATTGCGGAATGCCCCATTCACAACGACACTCGTGAAGACGTTGACCCAGTTGCACAAGACTATCGCCAGCGATTATTTGCGTGAGCATTAGCCTCGCAGGCTCGTGAACTTGTCTATTCGTGCAAAGTAACCAAGAAAAGTCATCCCTGTCCTTTCCACTTTCGCCCCAGATCTTAACTGTGCCATTTTTGCGACCCTGTATTGAGAAAAAAATGTTCATTCATTAAAACTTCTGCCAGACCTTAATTAATCAAATTTATTATTTTAAATGAGATTCAGTGTTAAAAAGCTCGTGATTAAATTTCTATCACTGTAATTCAAAGAATGTTTTCCATCATATATAACTTTTATTAATGATTTTTTTTTGTATTTCAGTAATAAGAATGGAAAAAAAATATTTAAACTTGATCAACTTTTAAAGAAATATTCAAAATAAACGATAGTTACCTTGTAGCAATCGATGCAGACGACAAATCCACATTTTCCACAAGCCCAATGGTAGTTAAACAATGTTGTCTCGCAAACGTCGCACATTTCACGAACTCCTTGAACGACTCGTTTCCAGGCAACAGTTCCGTCTACAACCCCCGAACTCGCTGTCAATATCAATGCATAATCGAAGCAAAAAGCGTGTTAATTCATGCGAACCCAAAATTAAAATGTGACTTTTTATATTATTTAACAATAACAAAATAATAATATTAAATACACATAATTATTACTAATATTCAACAGTGACACTACAATGAATTATTAAATGCAATAATTAAAACTAATATTAATTAATAAAACCATTATTTAAATTGCAGCGTAATTATATTAACATCCATTAACAATACTACGATAATGATGTTAAAAATAAATGAAAATGAAGTTAAAAAGTATAAAATTAGAATTACGTTAAAAAAAATTGCTTTGAGTGAGTTAAAAACTAAATGAGTTAATGTGTGACGAAACATTGTTATTATTAAACACAGATTGCAGTTAGTGAATTATTTTCAAATAAAAACGTGAATATACCTTCAACCATATGCTCCTGAAGTGCGTCCTTCTCCTGATGAAGCAAATCACAGAATTGATCACCAACTTGACACAAAAGACGATACGCCATTTCCAAATCTAGTTCTTCTTTCTCACTCTTCTCCTTTTCCTTCTCATTCTTATCAGGTTTCTCCTCCTTGATCGCTAAACTTTTTCCCGATGACCAAAGCCACAAATCTTCCTACAAAATAATTTAAAAAATCTTAACCAATTACAAATTTGAACTGAGGATTAAAATTTTCAAAATTAAATAAAATAATATTTCATCAGTGTTAAAAAGCTCGTGATTAATTTCTATCACTGTTATTCAAAGAATGTTTTTGCATCATGTGTAAATACTATTTAAAAAAATTGAATTCAATTAAAAAATTTGAAATAGAAAGATGTTTATTAAATAAGAAAACTTACATCAGAGGCATCTTTGTGCGGATCGCTGAATCCCGCGATAGCCAATTGTCCATTTTTTGTGAAGCGTAATTTACGAAACGCATAGAATCGACAGAAAATATTCTGATAAAGATTTTTGGAGCGTTGATGAGGTGTCATACGGCACTCGCGGCATTTTGCTAATTTTGGAGCGACCTCACAACAATTGCCATCTTGTAACCAACTTTCGCCGGTTTTTTTTAATTGCGAGATCGACGGCTTCCGAAAGGGATCACTTTTGCCACTGCCACCTCCTCCTGGACCATTACCAGCGCCGCCACCACCACCACCCGTACTATCGTCTCTTCGTTCTTTTTTTGATCGTGGTTGTTGCTCTTCGCCTACGTCGCTACCCTTCGAGGTCTTTGGTCGTCGACCCCGTTTTCTTGGTTCTTTATTGGTACCTGAAAATATCAAAAAAATTATCGCCAAATTAATAATGATTGGACAAATAATGAGTGTTTCATGCAAAAATAAGCTCTCAATAAGTCCGTCAGTGTTAAAAAGCTCGTGAAACATTCATGGGTTAATCAAGAACTCTCGTGGTCATCATTTCTCATTTTTTTTTCTGTTTTTTTCTTTCTTTTTTTTTTGCGTGTTCAGAGAAAAAGGAGTGTTAGGCGAAAAAACGTATATACGATCATGGAACGCGAAGCACTTACCCTGCAAGTGAATGGTTAGTTCACCTGACGGGAAGTCCATTTACAAGAAGCTACGTCAACTAACCGTTTCCCGAGGAATTGTTGGAATTGGCGGCGGTATGTCGCCCTCTTGAGGCAGGTTGTACGGAGCCTAACTGTTCACTGGTGTCGCTAACCGATCCAGCCTCACTCTCGTTACTGGATTCGCTCCCCGCCCCGGGACCACCTCCTCCCTGCTTGTCGTCTTTCCTCCGTCGATGATCCTCTGCAACCGCTTGCTGTTTCCGAGCGGCCCCCTTCTTTCGTTTTACCTACCACAGGGCACAGATTATTAAGTAGTCAGGAAGTTCATGCTCTTGCCGCAGCAGCTACTTGCTCAGTTCTCTACTCAGCTCTATGCCATTACCGAATTTAACGATGCAGCACCGCTCACATCTGTTACAATTATTTCTACATCTAACATATAAGATAAGGCCTTCTCTCAAAAGAAGTAACATGCATATAGTTAGTACGATTATCTTTTGCCCCTCACAAACTTTTTTTTCTTTTTTTTTTTTAATATATTCATTCAGCTTTATCTGCGGAATGCGTCTATGTTGATAAAATAAAGCACATGAGCGATTTTATTAGATATACCACAAATCTTGTTTATACAAAGCGGATTATATTAAAAGCGATTAGTTTCATTTAGACATGCTCAAAATAGGCGCTAAAATAATGTCTAAAACAAAGAATGTCTAATTAAAAGTAAGTAATACCAAATAAAAAAAAATAGCAACAAAATATCTAGAAGATTTTTTAAAAATATGCTTATAAATAAAAAAAGCCAATAAAAAATTACTAATTACCAGAATAACAAGTTTAATTTACTCTAATGTCCATTAATTATGAATTGTTATTCTTAAAACAATGTTTATCTACAAAATCTAAAACAAGTGAAATTGAGGTTATGTTCCCATTTACTGGTTTGCAAGGATCAAAGTATCGGATACGGATATAGTACAAGATGCACGAATATAATACCATCAGATCAGGTATAAAAACATCTGTTGGCTCAATTACGTTTAATCAATACATACAGAGAACGAGTCTGCACAATTCAGGATAAAAGGATCTAACAAAGAAACGAACACGTTTTCCAATGCGGAGCACAAAGTTAAAGATTTGTATCACAAATGATATACAACAGAAATGATTAAATTTGCAATTATTAAAATAATTTTTTTTTATTAAATCAATTACTTTCATTTTGAAATATCATTGTTTAATAGAATTTTTTTTTGTTAATTATTTCAAGGACAAAGGACGCCAGCCACGCGATTAACTCCGAAAAATGAATATTTAATCGGGAGAGATTTATACTATGTAGTGCCAAAAAAAAAATTAATTTTCTTACATAATACATTGTTTATAAACATTATACTAATCAACAGAGATGAATGTATGAAACAAAATTGATATTTAAAAGTTTAAAATTGAGGTTAGCTATCTGAATATGTAGACATTTTTTCAAAATAAATGAAAATTTAAGATAATTACCATATCATATGAACAAAACATCTTGGACTGAATGTACATATAAACGTTTAACAATATCCGAATATATTTAGTAGTATATTTCAAGTGATATATTCAATAAAAAATGACACACAACTTTTACAACTTTCCAACTCCAAGTCCGCCATTACACTGTCGATGTTCCGCACGGATGCAGGGTATGCGCGCGCCTTTCCGCTGACGTAAATTAAAATTGGAGGGAAATTCAAATTATTAAATTCTCTAAACTTTTTTTTAATTCTACAATTTAAATTTTTGATTTTGAATTATAAGTAAAATATAATTTTACGGAAAACTAGTTTGTAAAATGTTCCAGTATTTTTGAAAAATTATAAATTGTAACCATATCAATTAATATTATTTAATATTTTTTCTAGTAGAAGCTTTTAACGTAGTTATTAAAATTAAATTTTCAATTAGTATTATTAAAAAAAAACCTAATGCACACACACACACACACATTTCATGCTCTAAAAAGCCACAAAATTGCGAATTAAAATAAATTTAAGAATTAAATAAATAACATAAAAAAATTTTTCATTTCTATACTTCTTTATAATGAAAAAATTTTTGTATTTTTATATTATTTTTTAAATTATCTTTTATATTAATTTTTAAATTAATTTTTTATTTATATTATTAATATCAGTAAGTAATTTTACATTGGTATAATTAAATAAATTTTTTTTTTAATGTTAATAAACCGTGCACGCCTTTCTCGAGAAAAACCCAAATACTATTATCATGCAATTGTATTAAAAAATTAAAAAACACGATATTTTTAAAATCGCAAACTTCTAAAAGCTGGTGCTAAAGCTTTATGCCAGATGTGAAATATATGAGTTCAATTGAGACTTCGGATGATACAAAAATTTGCGAATTTTTATGTCAATGAGAATTAGTAATATTATTAGTATTAGTCAAATAATTAATGTGTTATATTACCGCTACATAATTAAATAATTCCAATTACCGTAAAAACATAATTTTAAAATTAACAGAAATTATATCTATTTGTTTTATGTTTATAATTAATTAACAAAGTCGTGTCTACCTATTGTTTCAAAGAGCGTCAAAACTTATTAAATTGGAATGATTAATGATTTTTTGAAATGCAAATTATTTATTCGCGCCAAAAAGAGGATGGATTTTTTTTTAAATTTCTTTGTTTATTATTAAAAATTAATTAATTATTAAAAATATTTATTAACTTTATTAAATAATTAATGTTTAATTGGAGAAAAAAATGTTTTGAAAAACTAATTTAAGAAAAAAGCTTTTTTTTTCTATTTTTTCTTCATCAAAAGTCTCAATCGCAATTTAGAATCAGTTTAGATAGATACCTTGGGTGGTTTTCTTTTTGGTGGCGACTTCCTCTCTGGATCGCTGCTGGACGAATCTTCTTGTAAACTTTTTGTATCTGTAGCGTGTCCATTGACAGTTTCTTTATTTACCGGTTTTCTTCCGCTCTTGCCCGTGACTTTAGTTTTATTTATACTATTGACTGCCATACTTCCAATATTATGAATTGAATTAACAGCACTCGGTAAACTAGTGGACGTAGTAGTTTCTCGTTCCTTATTATTCAATGGTTGCGATGGTGCTTGAGCAATATTAAGTGGCAATGTAACACATGAACCACTGCCAACAACACCTGTAGTATCCTCAGTTCCATCTTCACCAGAGTGCCTTTGGAGCCATGCTTTTTTCAATTTATGCACTGGATATTTGGTACTACTTGGTGGCCTTGGTGCAGGACTATTTGATTTTTCACTGTCAACAGTGGTGGAGGAATTTGCCTTGGCAGGCGTGCCAGGTGCACTTGGAGCTGGACTCGGTGCAACTGACGGTGCAGGACTGGGAACTGGCGCAGGACTTGGAATTGGAGCAGGACTTGGTGCTGCACTGGGTGTGGGATTTAGGGAGCTAACACTTCCGGTGCTCGATGGTCTTATTAATTCGTCACCACTTGCTGCTCGTGGTGCTGGACTCACTGAAGTCACTACTCGATCGGGCACCTGTAAACGAAATATCAATAACGTCATTTACATTTTTTCATATTATTTTTAATTATTTACTAAAAGAAAAAGATCCATTTTCAGGATTATCTACAAGGTTGCTATGATTTCTCTCGAACGTCTTTTTTTTAATTTTTAAAATATACTTAAGAAATACTAAAGAATTGAGATATAATATTTAAAAAACTGAATTTTACACCGTTTTGTCAAAAAGATTTTAATGAATTTTATTCTTTTTTCAGGTGTTTTATACTTTTTTCCAGATTTTCAGAAAGCGTAGCAACTCTGCCATTATTAAATCTTAGGTACTAATTTTTTAAAAATCAGAATAAACTTCAATTAACCCTTTTCAGTAAATTATGTAATTTAGTTATTAAAATTCAATTTTTTTCTTTTACTTAAAATTGTAAAAAAAGAACGCACCTGTGACTGATTGGTGGGTTGTGCAAGGAGTGCAGTATTCACAACAGTGGTGATGGACGTGGCAGCAGAGGCAATAAGAGGACTAGGCTCGCTGACCCTTGATAAAACGGGTGTACATACACTTTGCAATGACAGTGGTTGTGGTTCATCGACACGACGTTTCTTGCAGACTTCAAGTGACACAGGTTGTTGTCCAGTGTTGATACAATCGTCTGAAGGCGTTGGCGCTTTTCTTTTCGGTGAGCTCGTTCTCTCGACACCCAAATCGAGTGGTTGCGTTTGGAAGGCAGTCGACATTGATGATGATTGTTGTGGTGGAATTGATTGTCCCACTGGCGTTTGATGATGTGGACTACTGTGATGCGAGGGATGAACAACCGCTCTTGCTGACATTGGTGCCGAGGCAGCGGTTGACGGCGAGGTATGTAGAGGTGGTGGAGGTAACTTGGTGGCCGATACCGCGCCTGCAAAACCACCTCTCGAGTCATAAACAGACCTACTACTGTGAGCTGGTGGTGGCAGAGGTAGAGGTGGCGCCCCGTGATGATGAGGCACTTGTTGGTAAGGCGAAGTTCCGGCTTTCGAGGTCAACGGCAGTGGACCTGGCACCGGGCCGGGATCTGACGCTCTGCATACCGGTGTGCCAGTCATAATGCCGGAATTGGGTTTTCCGTAAATATGCGATGGCGCTGGACTGCTGACTTTTGGTTTTGAACCGGCGGGTGGTGCCGCGTAATGCGTTGTCGATGACGCGGTTGGTGGATGAGGATACGAATAGGCTGATTTTGCTCCATATTGAATGCCAGGTTCGGGACCGGGCCTACTGAGATAACGTGGCTCGGGCGGTGTTGGATGTGGCTGATGGGGATGTTGAGCGTGTGGTGATTGTCGATTGTGAGGATGCGCTGGATGACCGTGAGGCGAGGGTAATTGACCCGTGTTTGCACCGGGTCGATGATGACTTGGGGGGATGTTTTTGGCTTGTATACTCTCCATGTGATGATGATGATGATGTGGACTTTGGGTGGGACTTCGGTACTCGTAACCACTGGGTTTGTGTTGCGGTGTCACCGGTTGAACGTTCATGTATGACATCATTTTTAGACTAGGTGAATGCTGCTGCTGCTGCTGTTGCGGCGTGGGTGCCTTGGGAAGTTCACGACCCTCGTTCTTGACGATTACGGAACTTTTTTGGTCCGACATTAGGGGCGGTGGATTCTGATGAATCTCCCGACCATGGTGATCCCTCTCGTGACTGACCACCGTCATGTTTGCACTCTTGCCGGGTAATTGCTTGTGGGATTGAAGATCACTTTTAACTTTGATCTCGTGCATGTAGGATTGTGGCTGATACGTTGAGTAGCCAAAGAGACTGACGTTTGGCTCGGCTTTCGGTAGTACACTGTGAGGTGGACCAACGACCGATGACTTCTCGTGATGACTCGACACTGTGAGTGACGATTTTGACGTTCTCGAGTGTGCTGGAGGTGGATATTCCACTTTTCCAGGTACACTTGACGGCCGCGACACCTGTTAATCAAAAACATTGTTAAATTTGATGCAAAAAAAAAATATATATATATATGATTAAAATTCAAAAAAGGAAAATACCTGTTGAGCCGTGGGTTGTACAGTGGCTGCATAGTAAGCTGCTCGTTGGTGAGCTGCAGCAGCATGATCTCTGACATCTGCTTGTCTGTGCAACCGTTCGGCAGCTGCCAAGTGTTCACGCTCTCGTTGCTCTCGGTCTCGAGCAGCAGCATCCCGGTCACGTTCTCGTGCCTCTCGTTCCTCTCTTTCCCGCTGTTGTTGTTGAGCAACCGTTACTGGATGAGCAGCGGACACTGCACCAGGATGATGATGACCGTGAGGCGTTAATCCCCCATGTGGCGTTCCATGTGTCCGACTCCCTGGAGGTGGTAAAGGAATAAAGCTGTTCCACGCCATCGAAGCTGACTGCATATTTCTCTGTGGAGTATAAGACACCTACTTCAATCAATACGGCCTTCGTATTTATTAATTTATTCGAAATATGTACGCTCGCCTCTTTCAATATTATTCCAAAAATTAAAATACCTTTTCCTATCATTTTTTATAACAGAAAAATTATATAGCAAAAAAAAAAAAAAAGTAAAATTATAAGAACACAAAAAATAAATTAAATAAAAAGTGATGATAAAATTTCTAAAAATTGAACAAATAAAAATACAAAAGTCAATATGTAAACGAATACATTTCACACATGATTGCTGATGTTATCAATTTCTCTTGACATAATAATTTATTTACAGAAAAAAAGCACAACTTTCGTATATAATTTTATTTATCGAGGATTCTTGGAAATGATATACTTGTTATTTGCCAGCCGGATATCTCTCTTGGATTAATGTGACACAGACATAGTATCAAGTTAATAATCAATATCGTGAGAACTCTATATATTTCGAAAAAATCAATTAAATAAAATGAAGAAATAATATTGTTGACTGTAACATAATAAAATGACAATAGATTTTTACCGATCTCAAATATAGATAATATATTATGTTTAACCACGAGGAGAAAATTTGACTTGATCGGTGCCAAGCGCGCATCGTTCAACTCACTTAGCAGACCTCCGTCAAGAACGAGAATCTAATTATAGTCTTCGAGGCAAAGATTACAATGCTAATCACATTGTGAGTAAATGTCAACTCACATGCTCTTCGTATCATGCGTAACTTCAAACTACAAAATAAAAGACTTTTGTAATTCTAACTTTTATTCGAAATATATTTCCCTTTTCATTATCATTTGAAAATTAAAATTATCATTATCATTTTGATTAATAATATTTTATTTATTTAAAATTCTGGTATTGAACCTCATTAATAAATAAAAAAATATTATTGTTCATGAGAAAAAATGAAGAAGAAGAAGAAGAAGAAGAATACCAAAAGTAATTAAACGAAGTGAGGAGTAAAATTTACAATTCAGAAAACAAGCACTTGTCACCTTGACAACCTTGGATGGATAGTTGTAGGTGTTATACCCAACATCCTGGAAAGCAAAGTCATTGCCCTTTCCCCTATTCATTTAATCGTGAGTTCCTCTGCGTCTTCTTTCGTGTCAATCTTGCAATTTTTACCCTTCAACCTCGCGCACAAGTCCGTGAAGCATATTCATTATTTAGCCGAGTTGCTATTACTCGCACACAAAAAGGGGAATTAATTCAGGGGTGACTGACTATGTCATGGACAAAAAAAAAAGAAAAAAGAAATGCGTAGGTAGAAAGCCATTAACGTCTGCAAACTTTTGTTTGCTTCCTGAATTTCAGCCCTTTTCTCTCCCCCCCCCCATTCCACCCCAGTTTTATTTCTGACTCTATTTTATGTCTTTTTTTATGCCCCTACAACGCACCCTACCAGAAGCTTTTTCCTAAATTACAAAATCAATAATACATTGAAAATAATTTGCTCTTATAAATTTCCTGAAAATATGTGGGCAAAATAAAAAAGTGGAAAAATTCCATTTCAAAATTTGTTTTTTCTTTTCCAACTTTTGTTTATATATATATATATATATATATATGTAAATTAATTTTATAAATATTGATTACTTAATTATTTATCTCATGTAACTTTCTATTTTCGCACGATCAGTATAGAGAATGAATCACGACCTTAGATTTATTATTGCTTGCGTTTATTTTATTATTATTGTTATTATCTCTCATTGTAATAATTTATCTTATAAAGATTATTATCGTAGGTGTTATTTCTCCACTACTATTTTTATTATCACTTTTACTATTATTACTATTATTATTATTATTATTATTATTATTATTATTATTATTATTACTATTATTTTTCTAAATTATTTCTAAGAAGAAACAAGTATTTTTAATTTCTTTTGTTACTAAACATATTAAAATGATTCAATTGTTTTTTTTATTTTCCTTTGATCAATTTTTATGCGATAAAAATGATTAAATGTACATTAATCATTCACGCGATCTGCACATAATAATCTTTGATGTATGACTTGAATCCGTATGTTTATAGAAATAATCTTTTAGTATAACTATTATTACCTATACTCACGCCTACAATATATATATATATATATATATATATATATATATATATATATATATATATATATATATATATATATATATATATATATGTACAGGGTGTTGAAAAAGTATTGAAACTTGCAAGTATCTCGAAAATTACACATTTTCGTGAAAAATGTTCAACTCAAAAGGTGTTCCCAACAAAAAGATCCATAGTACATTTTTTAAAAAAATAAGTGCGACCCATGAAGACTTTGAACCTAAATTAAAATTTATCTGATAAAATTATATTATTTTATTTCATTTTATAAGCGGCATACATTACTCAAACCACTTTCTATATAATTTCTCACTTAATTTTAAATTCCATTTTTTTTTTTACTTTCAACTCACATCTAAAACCTGTTTCCTAATCTAAATACATAATATTATTCAAGTTTAAAAATTTGTTTCTATTCTCAAATATTTAGGATAACTTTTTGCAGTTTCAGCTTTCAGTTCATTTTGAAAAAAGGATTATAAAAAGATTAAAAAATAATAATAATATATGAAAAAATGTTCTGCGAGTATATAAAATGACTAAATTGCTTTTTTTTTGGTTGAAGATAAAACCGTTACAAAAAATTGTATATAGGCAGAATCTTGAACATAGTGTCGTGTCATGAATAAAATTTTATCTTATCGACAAGTCCAAACAAACCGGGTATTAATTCCATGGGGCAAACAGATAAGAAATGATAACGAAACGATAGACAGACAATGCGAATAAAGACATTCATTTTCATAAACATATATTTTATATATATATATATATTCGAGTCCATTTATATGATTAGCTACTAAATTGTTATTCGGTTTCTTGTTCTACTTAAACATTCATATACAATTTATTATAGTAATTTAACACATACACAAAGTTTTTCATAATTATAATAACAAATTCTAATTGACATCTTATCAAACAGCAAACTTTCCTAAGTTCATAAATATATAAAATATATAATATATTCTGTGACACATGTCTATAATCAGTTTCTTTAACTCACTTTAAACAAATAATTATATTTCTCAATACAAAAAAGAAATTACAACTCGAGAGAATATTAATTTTTGAATAATATATAAAAAAAATTATCTCCAGACACATGTCAAGGTCCCAGTATGTATCTTATTTCATCGAACTCAATTAAGACTAATATTATTATTAATTATTAAAACTACCATTGGAAGAAAAACAACGAATCAAGATGATAAAAGCCAATTTTTGGAACTATTATCGATTGAAATTGGTAGAAGCTACTAAAGATTGAATAAAATTGATGGTTTCATCGATGATAAAATTAATGAAAATTTTAATTATTCAAATAATTATAGTCGAAGAAAAACGAAGAGGCGACATTTTGACAAATGTAGAAAAGAGCAGCATTAAAAATGCTGATAAATTATTATAAAAGCTACAACTCGTTTACGACAATATGAAGATTGAATTTTATCTCAAGAGGCAATCTGAAAAAGAATATTGGGGGATTATAAATTTTTTTCCGGTTTGATTTGAAACGAACTCTGGTGTCATGGGTTCTGAGGAATATCTTTTGTTACATTTTTCGAGTTACAACATCATCGCATCAGGTAGCAAAGAAAGAAAGAGAGATTGAAGAAAAAAAAAAAAAAAATGTTGACTGACTCATGAAGAAACACGATGTCTATTATTGTATGGAAACAACAAAGTCAGCACAGGGAAAACTGTATTATCAAATTAAAAATTTTTTTTTTTATTTCAAAAAAGACTTCCTAATTTTTTTATTTTTCAAAGCTATAAAATAGTTTCTTTTTGTAAATATAAATACAAAAAAAAACAAAAAAATCTTTCTACTGAAGAGGTATATAATTTGTTATTTTTTTACCTGATTACATTAAAGTGACAGATAGCACTTGACATTAATAATAATATTGTCAATAATTAATTTTCAATTAATGAGAAAAATCAAGTGATTTTCAAACCAATTGAGTCCTGCAATATATAAAACCTGTTTTACCAGTTCTTTGAGAAATGAGATATTGACGAGAGACTATTATAAATGTGATATGTCCTTATTATCGAGTGTTGGAGAGTCGCGAAACAAGTTTTAACTATATATATATATAAAAACGCAAATAGATCATTTATATATTTTTTTTTGTTCGCGCAATTCTTTGGGATAATATTGTATAACAATAAAACTCGTCGAGTGAAGAATTAATTGCTCAAGAAAATAATAGAAAAACGGTTTGAAATACGATAAAAAATGACGACGTTGTGGAATTGAATGGTTAAATATATATATATATATATATATACTCTGAGTTCTAGGAAATGAGCACTCATTATATCCCGACTCTCCATTAACAGTTCGTCCAATTAGTCGCGGATCACAGCTTTCTAACAGTACGATTTCACATGTCGATAGCGATCTTTCTATAACAAATCTGAAAATTCAGAGAGGCGCAAATGGATTTGCGAATCTTATTCACTTTGCAGTACGTTGTGTATTATAAATGTGAACATTTTTTTAATTACTACTATTTTTCATTTAAATTTTAAATTATCATTATACAAATAAAAATATCTTTTCACTTTTTTTTCAAAAGCAATTGCCTTTCTCATTAATTTTCAAAACGTTCGAATAACACGAATTTTTCTTTTTATATTTCTTCATTTATATTACAAACTTCATTATAATAATCCAATATCGCTTCACGCCTCAGATATTTCATTATATTTTATAAATAATTCATATAATACACTATAATTCATATAGAAAATACAAATATTTATCATTATTTTTATCGAATTTAACAAAAAGCAGAAATAATTATTACATAAAATGAAAGTTTTTTTGCCACATATATTATAAAATTCAAAAAGAAAAATTGTCAAAAACAGATT